CCATCTGATTGCCTTTCAAAACATGTCGGATATTCGGTACAGCTCAAACAGATTTGTTTCGCAACAAAGAATTCAGAAAATGATCTCCATTTCAGAGGTTTTGCCAGAGTCTCTTTCAGTCGACATGTTTTCGTCTGGTTCATGCAGGTGGATTGAATATGAATGTACCCATCGATGAAACATGCGAAATCACACATGCTGCTCAGCTGTACTCCTCTGTCACCGAGCGTGCTTGTCTAGCATCTGCATACACTTACCGCAGTGTGGTGCGGGAGTCGGAAGTTTTTGGATTTTTGGATCCCTGCGAATTTTGGATCCCTGCGACGAATTTTGAGCCAACCCCATTTTCGGGGTTCTTGACTGCAAATTTTCGTCCCGGTTTTTCCCATCCCCGACTTTTCTCCGTCCCTGCATCACCACAATAAATCGCTCCCTTGATAATTACTGAGGAACTGAACAGCGCAAAAATTTGCATGATACAACTTCGAAAATGATTCGGCAAAATCGAGTGTATCGGATTGAATCTCCAGAAAAATCGTTGGTTATACACCTCAGTATATGAAAAGGAGCATTCTTCGTCAACACCATGAATAGAGCCGTAATTGAAGAAAATCCTTTTTATTAGATTTCGTGATCATACTATGTGTTGTTCAGCATATAGGTAGGTAGCCGAAAGGGACACTTCTCATACACCACCACCGCCCTGAAGTGTGTCTTATGAGGCAATATCGAAATCACCTTCGTAGAGTTTCACTGCATCATGAAACCTCTCAGCAGCGCAACACATCCTCTGAAATTGGGCTATATCTTTGGAACAAAGCACTATCCTTCGACTTCATATATGTACTTTTTCCTACTGGAGAATTTGCTCAAAGTGAGCGTGCGATTAAACGACGGTTCATTATAAATGTATGACTTTTTTGCAAGATGTAAGATGTGTTCAACATGTATGACGTCCATGGGATCATTGAAATTCATTGACCTCATGAAATAGTAACTAAGCAAATGATTAAATGAAACATCTCGCTATACCATAGGTACTGAGCACTTGTGGAGGATATATATCACTAGTCTAATGAGAATTTAACTAGCATCTCTTCGAGCTCAGTGTCGAGCAGTTGCATTGGATATGTTAAGGGTTGCGTTGTGATTTTGAAATACATGAATGAGTTAATGACGTTTAAATTCATATTATAAGGTAAGTGTGCAAAGTTGTCAACAATATGCATGTAATCAATGATATGTGTCGCTTTTGACTGAATGTGCTGATATGGTTTCATATGAGAGCCAGTGAGTAATAGAAGTTTTATTGAGACGGCGAATGCCATGCAATTTGACTCGATTAGCCTAACAACCGAGGGTGATACGTGGTGCTGATGCTTTTCCTTTCATTTTCACTCGTCGGCAACTGAGTTGAAGCACGATAGCAACCAAGAGGAAGGATTGTGCATGAAACCGAAACATTGTTAAGACGATCGAATTCAGTCGCCTTCGTAAGCAGTATAAGTCACCTAATATTAGTCGATCAGCAGCCACTCTTCTTCGAAAACATATGGTTAGTGAAAGTGCGAAGTTTGTTATGAGTTTAACAAGAATATAACTGAAGGAAAATCATGAATTTCGATGTACCATGAGATTCTTTGATCGAATCCACACTAGTTTTTTCCTTGGAACTCCATTTCAACTGGAGCATTTCCTTTTCGATAAGAGATAGTCTGTTGTAAAAGATTTCTGGAAATAACTGCAGTTGATTGTCGCATTGGTCTTTGCTTCGCAAATGCCTGAAGCCTATTGAATTTATGAACAATTGAATAAAATATTAGTGAAATGATTTGTCCGTCTTGATCCACCAATTTGTTGTTGTTGTTCATATTTTCTACATGACCGACTTTTTCAGGAACTTTGACTGCTTTAAGTTAAATGAAAACTGATATTGTCAACAGTTTGGTAGTAATTAACAAATCAATTTAAGGAAACTTTCATATTCATTGATGAACTCAATGTGAAAATGAGAGCATTTCATCTCTTTTCTGGATATTTCACTCGTAATGCTTGTTTTTCATTGTAGGATAACTTAGTGCGTGGACCAGCTCGCGCTACTAAAGCACCTCCTACAGTGATTTGTTACATATGCGGTCGACAGTTCGGATCTCGAAGTATCGAGATACATATCCCTCAATGTTTGAAGAAATGGGAGCTCGAGAACGAACGACTGCCGAAATCTAGACGTCGACCACCTCCACCCAGGCCAGATTGTTTCACCGAGCAAGGTCAGTGACTCCGTTCGATTGTACTAGCTGATTGACTTCTCCACAGATATTTTCGTGAATCATTTCATGAATTTGCAATGTTTTGAATTTTTTCTGTTCATGAATCATTCATCATGAATCATCTATCGTGAATCACTGTCAGTTCGTGAATCATCCATCATTGTCTACAACACCCCAACGAAGTGCTCGATATATCCTTTTTCATTAGAAATATTTTCTTCGTCGGATCAGTCATTAGTCCTTACAAACTATCAGATCCAAGAAATGCTTAATAGATCATGAAATATGCTCACAATCAGCAAATTTCTATTGATGTCCTCAAGTAAAGTTCTGAGCAATAAGTTCAGGATTTGGCATTTGACCTTTGCGGATCACTGTGACCTCTTTCATAAATCCCTCTTGCAGTACTTTTATCCTATACACTTTCCTACTCTTACTGATCCTTCACCATCGTCCCACTGCATACGTAATTCTTTGAATAAGCAGCCAGTGATACTTGTTATAAATCTCAGCATAAATATTCACCATTCAACTTGAGAAAAGTGTTTCTCGTCAGCTGTAGAGTTAAACTCTCTCAGGTGAAAAGTTTCTGAGTGACTTAACAATTAAATAGTGCACCCAGCAAAATTCAAGAGTTTTCTTTAAGAGCGTTAAAGTTTAAGTAAGTCCGTTAAATCGAANTCGAAAGCGATTTCATGCCTTATACGTCAAACGAACACCTTAATACATTCTTTATACTAGACATGAAGCAAAAAACGAATGCCTCAAAACCGTGTTAAAAGAATTTTCGCAAGTAAACTCATGTCTGAATAAAACTGTCTGCTTATTCCTTCGAAACTATCACTCACTCCATTAACGAGTCTCTCCTTCTAAAAGCCTCAACCAAACAATTCACGATCACTGATTCATATTTATTACTACCTTTGGTTTCATCATTGTATGTGCTGTCACCTTTAGAGTGTATGATATTTGTCTCTGAATACGTGAACCAATGCTTTTTTCAGGTACAATCCTTGGGACAGTCGATAAGTACGCAGTGAATGAAGCTGCATGGACAGCTTCTCAAGCTGCATTGGTAGCATGTGAACACTGTGGGCGCACCTTCA